CGAGAAGCCTTCCTCAATCATCCAATTATGCTAATGGAGAAGGGTCACCACACGCTCCTTGTGGGTGATGGCATCATTCTCTTTCTTGGTCCTCACTTCCTTCCTCCTTACGTTCTCTTCGCTCTCGGAGTCACTCTCCTCCCCCTCCTCTGCTTCCCCCCCTTCTTCTTCCTCTCCTCTCTCTTCTTTGCCTTCATCCTCAACATCCCCACCCAAACTCTGCACCGCTTGATTCAACTTCCCAATTGGGATCTCAAGTTCATCAACTAAAGAACTCCTCTCGGCAGGGGCTTTCCTTGCGACTTCTTCAAGAGTGATGTAGTCACCGTCATCCAACCGAAACAGATTGCAACTTCGGAGGTTTGTGGCATCCAGAACCATCTTGCCCACCAGCTTTGGCACAGAACCTTCAACACTCACCCCGTTCCTAACAAAGATCCAACTTAAAACCATGGCATAAGGCAAACTCTTCCGGTTATGATCTCTACAGTAGACTATATGTTGCAACATCAATGAAGGCAAGTTGAACTTCACCTTGTATTTCAGACAAAAAGCAAATGTGAACTCCAATTTACCCAGCAAACGACTCTTATTATTTTTAGGCAACAGACAATCAGAAACGAGCATTACCAAAATATTTTGCTCAGCAGAAAGCCACCTCCTCTCTGGCTTTGTGGCTTGAGTGAACCCACTAGTCCTTCCCAACAGATAGCTTAAGTAATTCTGATAACTCATGCTACTTGTCTCGATCCAAGAGTCACCACTGTACTGTGAGACTCCCGTAACTGTCAAACTCAAAAGCTGAGCCAACTATTTTTTGGTCAAGACAATTTTTACACCTCCCACCCCTTTGAGGTAATTTCCAACTTCCCACCATCTTTGGTCACACCCATGTGACGGTAGAATTCCTTTACCAAACTTGGGTAAGTCTTGGTCCTAATTGCGAGATACCCATCCAACAAACCTTGGTAATTTAACAACTCCAACAAAGAACTCGAAAAAGAGTCGGGATCAAAAGCTTTACCTTCCAAAACTGAGTAATGGGCATCCACCCATTCCACTTTTCTCGCAGATTTAGACCTCCTAGGCATGATTTGAGACGTCTAAGACCAAGGTAGACTCAAACTTCTTCTTCTTTTCTTTCCTTCTCTTCCTTCTTGGTTTTTCGGCTGTGATTCCGGCAGAGCAGCGACGAGCTTCCGGCGGCGGCGGTGGGCGGCAACAGGGCGACGGGCAGGTGAAATCAACGAGGTGGGGAGGGTTTCTCGGCTGTGTCACGGGTAGGGGAAAATAAAAGAGAGAAGGGTTTTGGGGGGAAAATTTTTGGGAAAAGAAGATTTTAATTTGGGGATTTTTGGGTAGGTTGGAAATTATAGGTTAGAAGGGATTTATGTGGGATAAGGTTCAAGAAGTAAAATTGGTCTAGATGGTTCAAGGGTTGGGTTGGAAACTTGAAGACCTTTTGTAAACTCATTAGCTGCAAATTAAACTCCTTTTTAGCTTTTTAGGCTTCTCTTTTAGAGGCTTTCCTAATAATTGACCATTCCAAGTTTTAAGATAACGGGTTAGGCTTTCGGAGACACGAAGGGGTGGGGTCTTAATTAAATGTATACCCATAAAACCTCAGAATCAAAAACTAAAGTTGACCACTCAAAAGGGACAAACAAGTCACAAAGGAGGAATTCACTCAAAAGATAACAAGGAGAATCACACAAAAAGGTGCAAGAATAACACGAAATAGGTACACTCGCAAGGTAAAAGGTAGGCTCAAGAAGGTTACCTGCAGACTCCTCCTCCACTAAACCCTCGGTCTCGGCCTGCAACCGGCTCACGAACACCCTGCCCGAAGGCTTCGTCCCTGCCACACCTCGACCGGAACTCCCTCCCGAAGGTCCACTGGATCTCGTGCTCGATGGCAAGGCTCTCTGGTTGGATTGTTGATGGCACTCAAAGGCTTTGTGGCTCCTTTCCCCGCACTTGAAACACCAAAGCGCGTTCCCTTGGAAATCCTTCCCAACGTGGTCCTTCCCACATATCTTGCATCCAAAAAACCTCTCTTTTTCTCCACCCTCGACCTGAATCGATCCTTGAGGCGGAGGAGGTGCGGGTCTGGCTCTGAAATCTTGCCTCGGCTTCTTGAAACTGTGTGATCCACTTCCTTCACTTCTCTTCTTGGCAAACTCAAAGGTCCCCTGTTGAAGCTGTTGCTGTAATACCCGGTATTTTCCTGTGGTTATGCTTCGGGGACGAAGCATCTTTAAGGAGGGTAGATTGTGATACCCCGGTTATTTGAGTATTTTGTTATAAATATTATTATTCTAAATAAAATATTATAAAATAGATATTATGTTAAACAAAACATTTTTACTATACGGTCTGTAATTATATTATTTTATGTGACCCAAAACTATTTAAACTAGTCTACTATTGCTACTCTTTTATTTCTAAACGATGTATTATGGCTAATAATTATTTATTTATATATGCGTTACGTATGTATATATGTTAAGTACTAGTAGGCTAATATGTATATTAAAATTATATTAAGTTTTTAAGTATTGTAGTCTCCTACAACTAGAATTATTATTTATAATGCAAGTTATTAGTTAAGTGTTTAAGTAGTAGTCATATTGTTCCAGATAACCTAATTCAATATATTTTTCTATCTCTGTCTGTCGACAATCCCTCCTTTCTCCCAAACAAAAATAAAACCCTAGTAGTTTCTTCTTATCAATTAATTTCAAGAATTAGATGTCAAGATCATCAAGCTTAGGTGATTGCTTTTGGGCATTATTATAGGTAAGATTTATGTTCACTAAAATTTCTTTTACCCCAAATCAAAAAATATTTTTCCTATGTGTTTATGTGATTCATGATTTTAATGAATTTGTGATATTTAACGTGGAAAGTTATTTGATCATATTATGTGAGTAGATATGTGATTTTAGTTGTTTTGGAATTCCTGCGTATGTGATATATATGGTGATTTTATAGTGTATGAAAGAAGGATTTTTGATTAGAGCAGTTACTGTTTGAGAAAATTCTGACTGGCGCAGCTGGAAAGAAAAATTCGTAAAAATTGCTTCCTAAACTTCTTTTTGCTTGAAATGTTTTATGGAGAACCTAGACTTGTTATAATTGATGTTTGTAAAAAGTTTTGGTTAAAAATATGTTTCGATTTTTCCAGAAAAATTTCGTAAAGTGGAGGCAGTGTGCTGCCAGTTCAATTTCTGTCTGGTGCAGTGTTGGGAAATAATTCGGGAAAAATACCTTTAGACCTTGGATTGATTTGAAACTTTTTGTGTATAATCTAGACTCACTGTACCTTGTATCTGGAAAATTTCATCTGAAAATGTGTTACCAATATATTTCTATAAATTTTTCAATATAGGTCATACCTTCTGAAAATTTCTGTCGGTTCCTTATTTGAGGTGTTGAGAATTTGTTTGCTTGAGAAATATCAGGGTGTGTTTGGTTGGTGGGTTTTGCCCATAGGAATGGGTATGAAAGTGATTGTTGTTGTTTGGTTGATAGGTTTTTAGAACACTACTATGGGTATCGAATACCCCATCAATTGAAAAACCCATACCCAAATTAAATAAGGGTTTCATTCCCTTATTCATTCTCAAGCACTACTATTAGTAACCATTCCCATTCCACCCAACTACCAAACATGTTAAATACTTTCACCAAAACCCATTACCATTACCAAGTATTTGATACCCATTCCGATTCCGATTCCTATGTGCGAACCAAACACACCCTCAGTAATGTTGTCACTTTTATAAAGATTGAGGATAAAGGAAATTGATTCTTAAGACTTGTGTAGTATCCTGTTGTGAAATTCTGGATACTTGGGTTATGACCCAGTTTGTTGTGGAGTGAGCGGTTGAATATACCGACTCACTAGGGAGCTTAAAAACTCTCTGTTGTTTTGTGGAGTGAGCAGTAGAAACATATCCTGTCTCACTAGGACATTTAGTCCTGTTGTTTTGAGGAGTGGTTAGCGGAGTCTACCACTAGGGTATTTACCCTGTTGAGTAGTAGTCAGTAGAAACGTATCCTGGCTACTAGGACTAGTTACTACCCATTGGGCTTGGAAACCCATTGGGGGTGTGCACACTTAAGGTATTAGTTTTGTTCCACTTATATGGGATTTTTGCGTAGTGTTCAGTTGAGTGAGTACTGTTCATTAGGGCTTATTAAATAAGACCCTGCCCATCATTTGCTTGGTTTAAATGGGATTTTTGAGTAGTGTTCAGTAAAGAGAATTACTGTTCACTAGGGCTTAAGTAATTAAGACCCTGCCCATTATTTGAGATTGAATGGGATTTTGTGTAGTGTTCAGTATGGTGATTACTGTTCACTAGGGCTTCATGAAACAAGACCCTGCCCATTGCATTGAGATTGGTGTTCCTCCATGTTGGAAAAAAATATATTACTTTTGAAAGGTTCCTAAAATATCCATTGTGAGAACTACTGATTTGGTATTAAAAATTATGAGTATTGTTGGGAAATTATGGTTATTGGAAATTCTGAGTATTTCATATTTGAGTTATGTTCTATATGCAAATTATCTGCTCCTATGTGCTATGTGCAAAAATGTTTTACGGGGTGAAGCAGATCTTACAAGCTTTATGCTGAATTTGTGTGTTTCTTTGTTTTCTATTCTTTAATTGTTTTTGCAGGAACTCTTGCATGAGCATTGGGCATGAGAACGAGCAAACCACCTAGAGATATCATTTATTAGTTAGACAGTTGGATTGTTAGATGTTTTTGTACTAGTACATATCTTGAGTTGTTTATCGTAAGTTGTAAATTTAGCCTTAGCACTTAGGTTGTGGGTTGCCTAAGTGTGGCGGTAACACCCATTTTCTTTTGATTAGTTAATGCTTCCGCTATGATTTTAGTAAATTGTAAATTAAGAAAAAAAAATTAAGGGAAATTTGGTTATGAAAAATGGGGGTGTTACAGTTGCACATGATACAGATCTGCTGCGCTCAGCTAGGCTTAAGCATGCTCACCGTCAAAGCTTTCCGGGCTTCGTAGTTGAGCCCTGCCACAAACTTCTCCACCTTTGCCAGCTCGGTGGGAACCAACATCCGAGCAAAACGGGCTAGCTCGAGGAAGCGCTTGTGGTATTCCACCACAGATGACGACCCCTGCTGAAGATGTAAGAACTCCTCGTACATTGCCACTCTAACGTGAGATGGGTAGAACATCTCCCTCAACTTGTCCTTCAAAGCTGACCAATCGAATCCAGGCTCTTCTTGGCACGCTGGACCTTCGTGCACCCACCAGAGGTCGGCCTCGTGGCTAAAGTAAAAAGAAGCCAACTCCACGCAGCGGTCTTCTAGGAAACCCACAACAGCGAAGATCTTGTCCAAGGACCTGATCCACTCTTCAAGCAGCACCGGATCTTCCTCTCCAGCAAAAACAGGCGGCCTATGCCCCGAAACTAAACGACCCATGTCTCGATTCCCAGCAGGTGGTGGCAGGGGAGGGTTGTCGTTGTGCAACAGGGCCTCACTCAGCATCTACATCGTTTGGGTCAGAAGCTACAAGTTCCGAGCCAGCTGCTCGTTGGTCGGCATCTCTGGGGTACGGGCACGATGACGAGGCGGAGCCATAACGAGATTCTACAGAAACAACACGGTTACGGTAGGCACAAACAAACTGCGCACCCATACCCGGCGCTAAAGACGAGAACGCTAAAACTAAACAGAAGCAACGGAACAAACACAACAAACAACAAGCAACTCACAACTCACCACGCGTCTTAATAATCCTAAGTCCTAAACACTTAGGTACTTAAAGGTCAACTTATGGTCTCAAACCACACTTAACTTCTTAAAGTCCAACTCTTAACATCTTAGGCTCAAACCTAGGCTCTGATACCAACTGTAAGACCCCGGACTTTTCAACATTTTTAAAACTTAAATCTCAAAGGTAAATATCTAATCATCAAGGCACACATTGTAACACCCCCGATTTTCATGAAATTTTTAAAACTTAAATATGTAAGGCAAAACAACTAATAGGTATCATAAAACGTAAGCAACAGCGGAAGTCTTAGATTAAAACGGGAAAACCAGGAAGTGCTATGCCACATCTACCTCAATGTGGATGCACAGGCAAGTCTAAAGCCAACAATCTATCTTGTTTAACATAACCATGGCACACAGGCCCAAAACACTATCTACATAGACAAGGGAGCTATACTACAACCAACCGCTAACGCGCTCGCCAAATCTACTCAGGACCTGTAAAGCACATAAAGAAAAGGGACGACGCCCGGTCAGCGAATATTGCTGGTAACCCATCAATACGCATTATATAGCATATATAGATAGTATAATACAATACCATTTTCGAAACGGAATACAGTATATATCAGTTCAAAAGTCATAGAGAGAAGTAACCTGTAAAACTATTCCACTCTCAAAAAGAACAAGGGAAATCAACATCCCAAGACAACATCAAGACAAGAACAACAACAGTACAACTCAACACAGCTCAAGATGTAATCTACTGATCACAAAGTAGAAAACATCAAGACAAGGACAACAACAGTAAACAAGTTCAACTCGAGGTGTATTCTACTGATCACAAAGTAGAGTACCACTCGACATGCTCCTCAGAAAAGGATAGACATTCCAACCTTATGCCCTGTTCCAACCTTATGGCTACCCCCGGCCTTATTACAGTTCCAACCATTACCTCCGAGAACCCCTGTACTTCTGAGTCCAACCTTATGCCTCCGGGAACCGTCGTTCCCCTTCCAACAACCTCCAACATTTCCACCGATCTCGCAGTACACGAGGGTACCGTTCATTTCAATTACATAACCGCCAACATATGAGCCTGAAGCCCAAATTATGAGCCTGAAGCCCAGATTACAACTCCAATATCATTTCATGGCCACCACGAGGACCACATTTACACCTTAGTGATTAATGTCCCATACCACTAACCGTGCAATCAAGGTACAACCAATACACACACTTTCATCACAGGAATCAATCAATGGATCACAACGAAGATATGAAACCATACTCAACAAGGAAGGATTACAATCCGACTTCAAATGATGATCAACACAAGTTGTCATTCTCAAAAGGGAAGAACAAACTGCACACACTAGCATTTCAACATCAAACTAGCATGCTTATCAAACGGGTAAACCAAACATAGTTCCGAAGAACATACTAGACTCATCATGGTTCAACGAATTACAAAGTTAAACACTTAGCATGATTCAAGACACCAAATCCTACACAGATTTTTAACATACCGTTCTAGACATACGAAACATCAAGAAGACACCCAAATAGCCCAACAAACAACATCGGGAAGTCAGAACATCAATTACCGAGTCAAAAGAATCACGGGGAACAAATCCCCGAACATCACCAAATATGTACCCCGCGGGTGGGGCCACGGGTGGACCTCCACCCGTGGTTCCGCCAGCAAGTACACCAACCCACAAGCTTGTTCCCCGCAGGTGGGGCGGTGAGTGGAGCTCTGCCCGCTGTTCCGCCCGCGGGTACCACTATGTACACCAAGATATCCCTTCGGGGATTTTCAACAACAAGTCCAAATTCAAGTCCAAAACACCCAAAATCTCACAAAATGCAACAATATGACTTGAACCCAAGAAATAGCCAAGCAATGGCATACAAGAATACTAATTACAAGACAATGCATTCTCACAAGACTTGCTCTAGATATGCATTCTCACAAGACAATGCATCAAAACTCACATTTCATAACAAAATTACAAGTAAAAGTCAAGAAATCATCATATAGGTAAGAAAATAGATTTTGTAAAGCATGGGTTACCTCTTGTAGCCTAAACCTTCACTTTTCACACCCTTAAAAGCTTCTCCTAAATGTCTCCTTCAACTTCAACTTCAAGAACACACCAAAAGACAACAGATATTCTATCTTTTAGAAATGACACCTAAAAAGATACTAAAAACACTAAGGGACCAAGGATCTTGCCCTCCCTCATGCTCAAGGTTAAGAAAGTTTGAATCTTGGAGACCAACTTGAAGAATCTAGGATTGCCCGAAACTTGGCTTGAAGAAGAAGCTAACAATTTTCTAGAGAGAAGGTGGAGCTTTTGTGTTTAGGGTGTTAGGGAAATGAAATGAAGGATGACTCTAGGTTAGCTTGGGGCACAAACATAAGGTGAAAAGACTGCTTTGCCCTTACTAAAGTGGGAAGTGTAAGGAGACAAGGGAACAATTCATAAGGCATAGAGTACAACCCTTTGACTTGGATTGACTAGTCAATTTCTAGTCCTCTGACTATTGAATTTTCAGGATTTTAGGAATAAATTACCAATTAGGCTAGGATTAATTATCTAATTAATCAATAAATAGATTTTGAATTTACGGGGTGTCACACACATCAAGCGGATGCTATATAAAATAGGCAAGCGTTATGCCACACCCACCAACCATGGGTGCACAGGCTAGTCAACAACAATCTAACAAAACATTAACAATTCTAAGGCACGCAGGCCAACAAGGATAAACGTCTAGCATGGGATCTATACTAACTAAGGTCCACATCTAGAACGCTCAGCATATACTAAAAACCTGTAAAAGTCAAGGGATAACACCCGGTCAGCGAATAATGTTGGTAACCCATCAATACGCGTTAAATAGCATAATATAGATAGAAATAATCAAAACCATTTGAAACGGAGTATAATATATATAATTTCAAAACCAAGGAAGGAAGTCAACATCAAAGACTCATCAATCACTCTCAATAGAAACGAGGATCAACATCCTCACAATAACAACAAGACGACAAACATGAAAGACAACACAACTCAGGATGCATCATACCGTTCACAAGGTAGAACACATCAAGACATGCTCATAAGCAACGAAATCACATTCACACGGTGACAACTACATGTCACAGTGACAACTACATGTCACAAGCTTCATAGTTCCAACCTTATGCCCTGTTCCAACCTTATGGTTACCCCTGGCCTTATCACAGTTCCAACCGTTACCTCGTAGTGCCACCCTGTACTTCTGAGTCCAACCTTTTGCCTCCGGGGACCGTCGTCCCCCTACCTACACTCTTATTCACCGCTGAACTCTCAATACACGAGGATACCATTAATTTCACAATCACAAAACCGCCAAACTCGTGAGCAAAGCTCAAGTAACAAACCACCAATCTCAATCATAGTCACACAAGCTCATCATCATTACCAAGAAAACTAAGGCTCAACAATAGCCTTAATCAAGTATCAACAAAGGGTACAATGATTTGCATACGATCACTTCATAGGAATCAATCAAAAGATCACAATAAAAAATGAGGCCATACTCAACAACAAAGGGTTACCATCCAACATCAAATGATTGTCAACACAAGTTGCCAATCCCAATACGAAGGAACAAACCACACATACTAGCATATCAACATCAAACTAGCATGCTTGTCAAACGGATAAACCAAAATTAGTTCCAAAGAACATTCGAGACTCACATTAGTCCAACGAATCACAAAGTTGGACCCTTAGCAAGATTTAAGACACCAAACCCTATCATAGATTCCTAACACACCGTTCTAGACATACGAAACGTCAAGAAGACTCACAAATAGCCCATTAAATCAACAACGGGAGATCAAAACATCAATACCGAGAAGAAAGAATCACATGGAATAAATCTCCGACCAACACCAATAATGTACCCGGGGGGTGGAGCCACGAGTGGGCCTCTACCCGTGGTTCCGCCCGCGGGTACACACACCCACGAAGCCGGTTCCCCGCGGGTGGGGCGGCGGGTAGGCCTCTGCCCGCGGGTACACTCTTGTACACATTAATCCCTTTGGGGATTTTCAATAACAAGGCCAAGTTCAAGTCCAAAACACCCAAAATCTCACACACAACAATAATATGACTTGAACCAAGAAATAGCCAAGCAATGGCATTCGAGAAACCTAAGAACAAGCTCTAAACAGGAATCCCCACAAGATCATCCATCAAATCTCACAAATCAACACATGATTCACAAGTAGAAGCCAAGAATCATCATATAAGTGAGAAAATAGGTTTTGTATAGCATGGGTTACCTTTGTAGCCTAACAACTTCCTCTTTTCACCCTTAAAAGCCTTTCTTAGAGCTCTTCAACACCAACTTCTTACACAAACCAAAACATAACAAAGATCCTAACTTTAGAAAAAGACACCTAAAAGAAGGTTAAAAACACCAAAAAGCTAAGGACCTTACCCTTTCATATGCTCAAGAAGGAGAAAGTAGGAATCTTGGTAGGAAATCTTGCAATGCTCGGAAGTCCAATTTATTGCTTGGAGAAGAAGCTAAATTATTTTAGAGAGAGGCTAGAGTATTTGAGTTTTAGGTTGAGAGGATGAATGAAATGAGAGAGTCTTGCTAGGTTAACTTGAATCACAAATCTTAGGTGAAAAGACATTTCTACCCTTATATGAATGATCTTGTATTTTGATTATGTCTAGAGCCCTAGGATTTATATCGTGAATTTG